AGTTACTGTATCTCCTCACCCTTGACCTTGAGGCAGACTGTTAAGCTTCGGCCCTTCTGCAGAGACAGAGACCAGTAAATGTTTAGTTCGCCACTGCTTACAACAAAAATGATCTTGCTCATTTACACTCGTTACGTCCTGAAATAATGAAATTTGCACATCAAATAAAATTCCAAACAGCAGAAATTTTGTTCAGAGGAAAAAACATTTCTTTAAAATATTCAAAGAAATATTTTTTGTAACTTCAGAACTGTCAGTGTGCATCCTACAAGGAAAGGTTAGTCTTAGTGTGTGAAGGAAAACTGAGGAACAGTTTGCGTGTAGAGCTGAAGCAATGTCTGAATGTGTATATGTATATATGTATATATGTATATATGTATATATGTATATATGTATATATGTATATATGTATATGCTGCTTTGTCCTAAAAAACTTTGTGAATACTGTTTATACATATTTGAACTTTATAAAAAGTTCTTTGTGGATGTCTGCTGAAAGCTTTCACAAATACAGACTCAGTGTTTCGTATCATAGTGATGTTCAGGTTGCATGTGAAAGATAAATATCCCAGTTTGGAAGTCTGGTGTCAGACTGGTGCAGACCTGGAACAGATTTAAGCTGGATGCACGGTAAACCCACACAGGTGATTTGAATTACTTTGGCTGATTACACCTTCTCACGGGACCGTGTGGGTGGAAACACAACGTGAGCATCTCGCTCCTCCGTCAGCTGCGCTGCATCTGTTAGGGCGAAAGAAAACAATGCAAAATGTAATATTTCTACTGCCTTGCAGGGAGCTTTTGACTGTGTTTTACAGTTCTATAAGTATCCCTCACCGGCAGTGTGAGCCGTGCTTTGCAAAGCTCTAAACGTTTACGATGAAGAGGCTGGCTGGTATTGCTTTGGCTAAAATGGGTGTAGTTGTGCGTCACTTCTGCTGTATCAAATGTCATTGAAGTTGCCCTCCAGAATTTGAAAAACAGATCTGATGATAGTCTCTAATTTGCAGAATACAACATTATACTGTAAAACGACTGCTGCATGTCGAATCAGGTACTTCTGCTGTTTTGAGTGCATATATGTGCTCACATAGCTATTTACTTACAATTCATCTAGTGCACTTCATGTTCCACTTATCTACTGTGCTACCAGAATTATGTGCAGTTAGTGCGTATTATTATGAATGAACGATTATTATATGTGACCCTGTTTCTTGTCCTCAGTTGTTGAACTCTTGGTTTTGTAGTGGAACGGTGAGGAAATGACGCGGGACAGATTTCACGCAGTCGTAGCACCGATGATAATGACGCCACCTGTGAGCTTATTAGATGTTTTCACTGCTGAAACTAAGAACCAGGGATTAAAAATCCAGAGTTGGTGTTTTACGATATTTTGTATGATACCTACCAAAAAGTAAGCCTCACTTTCAGTGACTTATACTGGTTAAAAATGATTGGATGATCCCGTCTTTGCCACAATGTAGCCATTAGAGTAGCAGCTGGAGGCTGAAAGTGTGCAACGTCACCAATGAAGCTGTTAGAGTAACGTTCATAAACTCTAGGCGTTTCAATCAGGAAAGTCTATCCAGCTCTGTTTAGACTTCAGTGCTGTTTCGTAGCTTTAGAGCCACCCTGCTGCACCCTCACATACTCTGAGTAGTAATCTCTTTGCTACTACAACACTAAATGATCATTTAGCATGGCTGAATCACGGGGCTGTTGCAGAAATCCTGGGACGAAATGTCATCTTGGCACATTTTACTTGAACCTTTCTAACACTAGTGCGTGAGGATGTGCTTTAATGGTCTCTGTAATGGTTTACTGCCTCTGGACTCCCGCAGTAACTAAACAAAGAGGGTAATGTGATGCTGGCTTGTTTGGAAATACATGTTCGTGAGTCTGTATTTGGATGCATATATACGTGTTTGGCGTCACGAGGAGCAAATAAAATCAGCATTTGAGATTCCTGCCATATACAGGCCTGTTTCCACTGAGGGCTGCCGAGCAAAGGCCCGGCGAATGACATCCAGAGACGCAGAGAGAGAACATGAGGCAGTAAAGAGGAGAGTTAGGGTGGAAAGGGACCGGAGAGAGGCAATGCATTATTTATTAATCCACATTTCCCTCTTCTTCTTCATCCATTACTCCTCCTCCTCTTTTTCTGCTCACTCCTCCTCTTGTTCCTCTGTGACACTCATCCTCTCCTCCTCTTTCTCCTGTACCGTCTCCACCTCCCAGTCCTCTACTCCCTCTTGTTTAACATCATCAAGTCCTTCACTTTTATCTTGTTTTCCCCCTCTTCATCCACTGCTCCCTCTTGGTCATCTCCCTCCTCCTCTTCACCTCCTTCAGTCCGCCTTTGGTTTTATCTCAGCTGTCTTCATCTGACCTGTTGTTGCTTCTATCCAGTTATCAACCTGTGGAAGTCTTTTAATGTGATACGAACTTTGAGAAATGACTCGAATCGAGACCCGTTTCCAAACGAGCTTTGCGCTTGTGTAGCCAGGTCATTCAGGTAACACTTTCCCCTGTGCTGTATAAAAGTTTATGAAAAAAACACCTTGAAATCTGACCTCGAGAAACTTGTTGCTGATCCAGCAGGCTTGTGAGTATGACGTGCTTTAGAGCAGGTTTACCACGTGGTTTACAAGTCAAAAGCATATGAGATGGAGCCCACTCCTGTTTGACATGACCAGCTTCAAAACACCAACACAGCCATGGCAAACACTCAGAGCTTAGAAAATTGTGAAAATATTTGCTATGCTAACAACTTTGGCAACTAGCTGCTGAAAAGCATATAAAACATGTGATATGGTTACTTTTACATTGTCGGCGCTCTGGAGTCCATCGCTAACAGACCTTGTCGTCTCTGTCTCTTTTCAGGTGGCTGTTGTGGAAAAGAAAAGACGAAGAGAGACGCTGACATTGAGGATCCAGAGACACGAAAGAGCCCCAGTTCTCTTTATTTATTACCTTCACGATACGTGTGTGTGTGTGTGTGCGCGCAGGTGTGGCTGTGCATCAGGAAGAGGACGAGCATAGAGCATGTGTGCATTCTGATCGGTACCTAAGATTTAAGGCTATCATTTGCAAATTTTGTTTACTTTTTATAAGGTTCCAATAATTCATATATCATTGTCTAAGTATAAACAAAAGGACTTCACTCTTGGTACATATTGTGTTTTGTGTTTGTAACTAGCCTCCTATTTAAGAATGTATATTTGTATGTATGATATACTCATCTAGAAACTATATAATGGACAGTTTTAATATTGCTTCATCTCGTCACCACTATACTGCTCGTGCCATTAAATCCATGCACACGAGCATCTCTGAAACAGAAGTAATGCAGTCACTTCAAAGAAAACAACGAATGCTAAAGTTTTTCATTTCTGTTTATCTCTCATTTGTGGAATTATAGGAAAAAACCGTGATAATGACGTCATAATAATGACGCTATAATAATGACGCTATAATAATGACGCTATAATAATGACGCTATAATAATGACGTCATAATAATGACGCTATAATAATGACGTCATAATAATGACGTCATAATAATGACGATCTCAGAGGGCTTTCAGGTAGCCTACTCTGGCAGCCATATTGGAGGTCCTCGGTTCTTTTGTAGCTTAAACTGCACCTGCTTTAAAGCTTTAATTTATTAGTTAATGGACTCACAACAAAGTAGCTAACAGCTTCAAACCCCATGTAAATACTAACACTCAAATCTGGTAGGTAATAGTAGATAAGACTCTTTGTCAGATGTTTATCATGCTGTGTGGGTTCATGTTACAGGCTTACTTTGGTAGTTCTGACCAGGATTTTCATCACTTCTCTGAATATTCATCTCACAGTACTGCAACAGGGTAAAACTGCTTTTACATGAAAGGACACGGTTGAAAGAAGAAGGAGATTATCATGGACCAGTGCTTAGACTGAAGTACGTATGAGTTTTGGGAGCTTTTCAGCTCCAGTCCACTGTTCCTGTGACCTACCAAGGCTTTTATCTGCATACTTGACCCCAGGTTGTTCAAATAGACACAAATTTGACATCAGATGCCCTACCTGACACATTTATTCCTGACACTAGGAAAACTCCAGCTGTGACTCCTTGATGCTGAATTTGTGGCTCTTCTGAGTCTCAAACTGCAGAGCTGAGGCAAATGTGTTAACCACTACACAATGGTGTAAAAACCACTCGGCCAAATGTCACGAACCCAGAATTTGAACCAAAGACCATAAAATAACCTTTAATATTTGATGTGGACCAACATTTGGCTGATGCTCATTCGTTTCCATGACCTCACTGCAGTCTCTCCTGCTACACTGGTTTGCAGCTGTTTATCTGGACAAACCAACTAATGGAGGAAAACAGCATTAATGAGAATTACCTTTGGCTGGTTTCTCTGAACACAGTCCAGGTTTGTGCACTTTTAAACATAAACCTGCCTATTGCTGAAGCTCTGACAAATCTATTTTTATTTGTATCATATTATCAGAGTTCAAAAAAGGACACTAATGAGCATGTGCAGAGGTAACAGCGAGCAGCTGAGATGAAAAGGCCTTAGTATGCGTCAGCTCGTACTGCCGACGTTTGGCTTCTCTCTTTTGAATTGAATCCAAGTAAGACATGGATTCTTGTATTTGCAATAAAAAGCTGGTGTTATTATGGGTGACCTGTTGTATGTAATTGCACTTTGAAATGTGTATGTGAGTAATATTCACTCAGAATCCTCGAGAGTAAAGGCCAAAACTCCCAAAGTAAGGCCCCATTTGTAGGAAAATTCTAGCGGTTTGATATTTCCGTGGACCTCCACGATGGAACCAGATGGAACTGATTGTGTTTCGCACCTTGAAAAGTCTCTCTCGTCCAAACGATCTCTGCGGACGATGTTGACAGTGTACACAACTCTACGGGGACGGCACCATAGACGCAATACTGTGCTTAACAACAGCTGGATAATGGAAATGCATGTGTGTGCTAGTGTGTGTGAGTGTATTAAACATGGGCAATAGCAAAGCACTGGTGCTTCCATCCATGTATATGAGCTAATGTAGAAAAGGCACAGGCAGCGTGGCCTGTTATCTGATCCTGCCCTCGACAATCCTCCTTTTCACTTTTACTGTTACTAACAAAGAATCTGCAATATCCTCTCGGACACAGACGATCTGAGTCACCGAGTTATTTTTAAGCTTCTACGTTACAGATCTGGAATTTCTTTTCTCTGAAAAATTTGAATGACTGATTTGTAGTGTGTGTGTGTGTGTGTGTGTGTGTGTGTGTGTGTGTGTGTGTGTGTGTGTGTGTGTGTGTGTGTGTGTGTGTGTGGAGTAGATACACATAGTAGGAGGTGGTGATTAACTCTGATCAGTCCCTATAACACCAACATGTGCTCTCAAGCAGAGACATTCCCAAACTGTGTGCCCGTGCTTTGGAACATTTTATGACACAGCGATGAAGGTGAGCTGTATGCTGTCATCTGCAAAGATCTTCTACTGGGTTTTTGTCTTTCTTTTGTTGTTTTGTGTGCAAATATCTGAATATTTCAGCTTAGATGTGTGGTGATGATGTGAAGTGCTACCGATACAATGGCTTCCTCTTTACCAGTCCGTTTGAAAGCGACTGAAACAATAATATTGGCCCTGCACTGTTGATTAGCCAAAAATCTGAAGCCATGGACGAATGGAAACCGTGGATGCTTCTAATGTGACTCCACAGCCTCTCAAACACACATAATAGAGATGTCTTGCCTGCCAGATTATTTCTTCACAGCCATCTAGACCTGGCATCTAGAAAACCCTGCAACCCCTACGTGCGCTCTCTCGGCTGATTTTGCAGACTGTTTTCATGTCTTTCTTCCATACAGTGCTTACATAATTTAATAATCCCTCTTCTTTATGCCAACCATGTGGTGAACCAAAGCTCAGCTGTAGCTAGCATGAAGCTTTTCCAGTTGGCTACTTCAGTTATTACAGTACGTACGGCTGTGGGCCACTGGTTTGGAATGCCTGTGTTCTTCTGTTATGCACTGGCTTTGCCCTTAATGATTAATATATGAATATAAGTATATATATATACCCTTGCTTTGCTCAAACCAGCCTTCCTCACAAATGTAAATATTGTCCCTTGGTTTTAACTTTTATTGCAGATAGGGGAGAACTCGTGGAAGTGCTGTACTCTGAGTTATCTCGCGGCTTTTCAGTGTCATCCCCGGGCTGTGATTGTGTGGCACGAAAAAAGGGGAGGCAAGGCGGTGGGTAATGCCAGTAAAGCAGCGTGACAGAGGAGGGTTAATACCATCGAGCTGTGCTAAGATTGCCCAGCCTCGCTTGGCTTTAAGGGATTGCAGGCAGTATTAGCAGCTGAATAATTATTTTTGCTATGTTTCTCCTTGTGTGCACACTTTCAGTGTGGCTCATATTCATTCATTCAGCCCAACCCCCACGCCCCAATGCTCTTCTTTTAGGCTCGAGAGCCTGGAGTCTTGTAAAAAACGTATATTTTTGAGTCCTGTGCAGGCAGAGTTCAAGCTCTGTTTTAACTTGAATGTGCTTCATATCTTTCACGTAGAGCCCAGTGAAGGAACGACTAGTCGGAATTGCACATTTAGCACTGTGACAGAGAAGAAAGAGAGATTGATAACGTAGTGCTTTTTCATCGTCGCTGGAGTGAAAAAGTGACGCTTCCACTATGTTTGTATACAGGGTTACAAGTGTCCCCTTAATGCTGTTAAAGAGACGTCATATATGACTGTACATATATGATGAGTATAAATATAAGGCATCTATTTTTGACAGTCTTTGTGGTGTGGGCAGAAGTCGTACGAATAGGAAAAACATATAGGTTGGAGGCAACGTGCATCCTCGCCGTGCTCAACGATGAGTCTGTGTTTGCAACTTTTTTCTGTAAAGCTTCTCTTCACGTTTGGATTTTTCTTTTTGTATGCTGCACTGAAAATACGTCATTTTCACAAGTGGTTTGGAAAACAGAAGTGTCAGTCACTTCATCCAGTGAAATATTATAGTATACAGTAGAGTAGCTGTTGCATTATTTGTTACGAGCTGTATGTAATGTTATTATGGAAGATGTAATGTCCTTCTGTAAATGTTGTTTAATGTTTTACCTGAAATAAAAATTTATTAATGCTTCAGATGCGTCTGTGGGTCACATATCATTTGTTCTTACGTTCACACAGAAAAGTTGACACGTGGTGTCTCTGCATACTTAAACACAGCCTAGTGCCGTGTCTCTTTAGAGTCTTTTGACCTTTTGGCCACACAGAAAAGTGACACTGATCAACCAATCAGTCAGTCACTTAGGCTAACATTATAATGTCCCAGAAATACTGAAGAACCAGCAGCAAAGCAGATATAAAGTTCACATCAAGTTCAACGAAGCAACAAAGGCTGCAAAGCATTTAGAGAGATAAAAACAAGAACTTCCTTGTGACTAGGAAAAGTTGGTGGTTGTCCAGTAGCTGAACTGAAGGGTTTTTTTGCTAGTTGCTTCGACCAACCTGTCCCCCAGAGGTCTGGTATGCAACCAGCCAATGGGCAACCATTTTCAGTCACAAAGCAACTGCACAGGTTAGAATCTAGGATCTATCTATGCCCCTCCCCAGCCTGGTGCTGTCGGAGGTTTCTTCCTGTTAAAAGGGAGTTTTTCCTTCCCACTGTCGCCAAAGTGCTGCTCATAGAGGGTCATATGATTGTTGGGTTTTTCTCTGTATGTATTATTGTAGGGTCTACCTTACAATATAAAGCGCCTTGAGGTGACTGTTGTTGTGATTTGGTGCTGTATGAATAAAATACAATGGAATTGAATAGATAAAAATCTGATTACTCAACATTACCTTCCTAAAACAGTGCGTGTCTTATTCCATATATGTAGTTAATAACCAAAATTCTGAATTTTGATTTTCAAAGGAGGAACAGAGGACCGTGTGTGTTCCTCTTCTGATTACACCCAGTACTGTAAAGTATATGTTGTACAGAGAGAGAAAATAAAGCAGTCGCCTGTGCATGCACAATTATTAGAGTATATTTAATGACCTTTTTTTAGCTGCTCTCAGCAAACACCATTTCCCACAAACCCAAAGCATTTGCAAGGTCAACGCTGCAGAATTACTGTAATGACCAGTTTCTATCTTGAAAACAGTGTGTGTACTATCATCTGATTCATAATTACAACTGGGAAGCTGAGACTTAATAGCACAGCTGGATTTGTAGTTATGAGCGTAGTTACAAATGTCACTGGGATTTTGAATGAGGTTTGAACAGAACCCAGAAGATCGTATTCCACTTTGGCTCTGTGCACGAGTGCAGTGCTAGAGCACTACTCTAACTTAAGATACAAAGCTAATTACATTGCAATGGTAGACGCTTTAGTTAAAGTTAAATAAATGAATCCCCCAGGATAGATTTCATTTCATTGCAGATTTCCATGTAATAGCAACTGCCTGTGTCTCTCTAG